TACACTTATAGGATTTTGATAAGTATTTGGGTATATCATGTTAATTGTGATTTATCCATTTATTTCGGTAAATTTAAGGATCTATACATAGACTTCAGCAATTTGATCGTTGATCTTTTTAAAATCCCACTTCACCCAGTATCCTATGTCAAGCGAATAGTGATTCAGTATTTTAGATGATGAATGTTCGTAGCCTCATCAGTTTATTCGTTTTTTTTTTTGTTGTTGTTGCATACTTTCTCACTTTTTTTCAACACTATCAATATCAATAATTCACTGTTGTATCCTAGTGGGATTGGCTTTAATTCATCATTTCTTATTTGACTAAAGTAATATGTATTCAATGCTATCAGAATAAGTGTATGCTATTTCAAAAGGATACACCGATCATACTATCAAGGGTAATAGATACTGTAAATGTGTTTGGTTGTGTGAATGAAATATGCTTGAAATCCACCACACACACACACACACACTCTCTCTCTTTGTCTAAACTACTTGTTCAAATCATTAACTGATAACATGTTTATTGGTTGGGATATTTTAGTATAAGGATAAAGGAATTAATTTACTGTCATATTCTTGCTAAAATGACTTTATTTCAGTCGTATGTCTCATTAATCAGCGGTACTACTATGCATTAGTCGTAGTTAGCGTATGTTCATCCTCTACTGATTATGTCACCACTTTTTATAGAATTGATGAAATATAACCAGCAGTAGAATCCAGAACGGGTGTTTCGTCTTATTTGGGACACCTGAGTGTACTTGCATTTCAGAGTTGATATTTGTTCCGGAATTCGAACCTTAATATCTTTTACTTCAAACATTAAACGCGTTATCCACATAGCTACTGAATTCAGATATCAACTCACTCGTGTAACAGATATAAATTTCAATTCAATGTGTTTTTTTTTCTTTGGATTATTCCGTTGTGGATGAATCTCTCGTTTTAGACCCCATTAATAACCAGCCACACTTCATTCATTATTATATGGATGTTTTAAAACGAACTTGAATTATCTTTTCTTTATGTAGATTGTTATTATCCTCTTACACTAACAAAGAGTAATTATTTAAATAAGGCAAAATGAAGATGAGAACAAACGAATGTCCTGGTACGACCGAGAGTGAGGAGAGTCAGTTCTCCCTCTCAAAATGATCTCACATGGCCATATGCATACAATCACTACCAGGGGAGTCCTACTCACTACATTCTCATGGCATCGCTGTTGTTTAAGAAATTAAGGGGACAAAAAGTGAATGTCCGGTGCTTTTTAACCGGGTTGGTAAATATGGAAGATCCACCTAGGGGAGCTGGAAAACCCTGGCGTATGAACCAGTCTTTGGCCATCGGCTCCATTGCTTTATGGATCAGACCTTTAGGTAGATTGTTCCTAATTTGGCCCCCTAAGAAACCACCTGCTTCGGTTTGGAATCGTAGATGAGACAAATATCATCGGTGATAACAGATGATTGTCACTCAATATTACGAGTTAACCAATGTTGAAAATATGAACCTTTGGATCTCGACTCGTCGATCTGAATTTTAAACTCTCACTTTGAGACCGGCAGGGCCCTAGGTTCGATCCCTTACAGTGTCGTAAATGTACATTCCTGTGAAATCTCATACTACGATGAAACACTTAACGATCACAGTTTGATTTTCTCTAGTTTTATAAATATAATATCAATCTGTAATATAAAATCACCAGATAGACGTCAACATAATTGGTCATATACTTTATCGGCGCGACTATAATTTATGAACGAACCAATCATATATAAGATAACATATCTCGAATTTTGGCGCTAAATTCACTCATCCATTTGTCTAAATAGAGTTTTGGCATTATAGCTAATGTTAGTTCATGATGAGAACCCTAAATCTTATTTCTAACCTTTATTATCAACTGTAAATCATAATTGTCAGGTAGAGAAAGGTATCTACCTCAGTACAATGGAAGATGGTCGCGCAATTTCGCGGATTGGTTGAGATTAGATATTAACGCCGTTGGATGCCGATTCAGTTGTTTAGTGGTCAAGCATTCGCCCGCCAGATCGAAGGCCCTGGGTTCGAATCCCTCGAGCGGGATCGTGGATACACATTGCTGAAGAGTCCCACAATAAGACGAAATAGCCGTCTGGTGCTTCCAGGTTTTCAATGGTGGTCTAATATCAATCTGTTCATGATTTCAACCCTATACTGATAATTCTAGTTCCTCTCATTTAGTACTGGTTATACGGGTGAACACTATCAAGGTTAGTTTAGCATCGCTTAAAAATCGTCCATATATTGTAGTCTCACCGCTTTATCCAATAATTACATTCAGTAATCTTTAGAAAAGCGACCAACATTCAAAGATAAAAATCATCATACATTTGTTTTGATTGTTATTTTTGTCATTAAAAAAAATCCAGTTTATTTCACTTTATATAAGTTGTAGTTACATGGCTAATTTGAATGTCAAGGTTACACATGGCTTTTCTCTCTCTTTCTCTCCTTCCCCCCTCTCTCTGTCTCTCTGTCTCTCTCTGTGTGTGTACCGCACATCTACATGTAGATATTTGTATCTGTCTCTAAGATTGTATATTTTTTTCCAGAAATATTTAGTTAACTCTTAATATCGATCAATAAATGGTGTGATAGTAACAGAAGGTTACACAAAATGACACCAAAAGAAAAAATAGTCATAGTCATAATAGTGAAACTATTCAAGTGGACATACATTGAAAGTGAGAAAAAAAAATGTGAATATTTTGAAGAAAACACTTTTGTTTTGTTCTCTTGGTAACTATCTCTTTGAAATTGTCGTCTTCTATTTTCATATACAATGTAAATTTTTTTTTGTTTTTTTTTATTTATTTGCGTTTTCTCGTTTACATCATAAAGTATGGACTATAGTTATATTATAATAGATTAGAAATGAAAGGATCTATTGAACAACTGTTTTCATTCTCTATAGCTTTTGTTACCGCCTCTTTTCATATTTAAAAAAGGGAAGAGAAAAAAAAGGAAAAAAAAAAGAGGAAACTGTTAAGCAACATTCCAGTTATGATGCATTTCACTATTTGTCAAAGGATTAATTGTTTTACATAGTTTTACATTTATGATCTTTACTATATTTGTTAAATAAACATTCTTGTAGTGTGTGTGTGTGTGCGTTTGTTAGATATAATTTCTAAAAATGTTTTACTATTTATCTACAGTATTAGTACTATTTTAAAATGGTTAAATTGTATTTGGTACGAGGAGGGGGGGTCACTCCCCCAGCCTTTCACCTAAATGTCTGATCCACAAGGTAATGGAGTGACGTCATAAGATGCTGTCACATGGTAGCCGCTGACGAACAATTAGTTCATACACTATTTGTTCCGTCAGGATACTAGAGACCATGTACACCATTGGTTTTGAATTAGGGTATTCCAAATCCTCTAGATAGACATTCCGTGTCCACCAATCGGGTTAAGGCTCATAACGGACATTCACTTTTCATTCTCTCAATTCCGTAAACAACAGTAATGCCACGAGAATTCAGTGAATAGTACTTCCCTGACAGTAGTTTTGTGCACGTAGCCATGTGAGAGGATTTCGAGAGGAAGAGATTACTCTCCCCACATTTGACCGTACCAGGGCATTTGGGGGTATTAGAATTCAAAATGATTTTAATTGTATTTTGAGATTGTCGATTAGATGGATCTGGTTTCTAGTATTGATGTTCTCACTGAGATTCAAATGCCGTATTATTGCCAATACATTATTTGCTAAACTTATTCAACACATATGAAGTTATGTACATGTAAGTGTTTAAGTTTTACTATTGTGTTAGTATTAATATGACTGCATTTTGATCAGTCTCCTTTAAAATTTATGAATCCTAAGCGGATTGTTTCGATAGTGTTTTTAGTTAGTTATAGGTATTCAGTGTGAATATCAACATTAGGATTTTGGTAGTTCTAACTGAAATCAATAGTTGGAGACTCTATGTGACATGGCTCAGAATCGATCACAATAGCGTAGGTATTTACATTCTCTGTCTTCCCTTAAACTATGAGATGAAAATTGCTTCATATCTTTCTTCCTATAATATATCCTTATATGCAATCTTTCCTTTATATATTACACAATTGAGTTGATTGCTTCTATGAATGCGGTGTTTATCTTGTTGTGCTAATGCGGTGTAGCAACTTGGACTGTTGCATATATGTGCCTGGTCCTACGTTGTAACTGACTGGAACAAAATGCATATCCTAAATTCAATTGCTAACCTCAATATAATTTGACTAAAACTTATGCTTAAAGACAACGTCGGGATAATCCGGTCACGATACATGTTATACCATGAGAAGCTTATCAAAATATAATCTTTAATATTATTAACATATACATATACATAAGTACGACTATTATTATTATTTATTATTTGAATACTTAGATATTGGTGCAAGGAGGCACCAAATACATATGCACCACACAAATCTCATTTGATTTGTTATGAGGGTTGTGATACTGCCCGGGTGCCGAAACAGAAGCAAGTGGTTTTCTTAGGAGGTTTGGAATAACGGTTTTCCAACTCCCCTAGGTAGACTCTCCATGTCCACCGGAGACATTCGCTTTTCATCCTCTCAATTTTGTAAACAACAACCTCGCCACGAGAAGGCAGTGAGTATGATTTCCCTGGGAGAGGCTATAAACGCGTGGTCATGTGAGAGCAGTTCGGAAGGGTGAGTGGACTCTCCCCACTCTTAGCCGTACCAGGGCATTTGGTAAATAATATCATTGAAAAGAAGAAATATTAGTAAAATACTCTTGTACTTATTCAGTCATAGTTTCAAATTCATGAGAAGTTCTTGGGAGTCATTGAAAAAGAACAATCAACGCAATAATTGATAATCATAATAATGAATGTCTATTTCCTATGTTGTAATTAACTTCATCCTTTTCATAGTTTTATTAAGAGGAACTTTTCTTTTTTTTGTTCTTGTTGTTGTTTTTCATAGGATAAAGACAATGTTTACCTATGCATGGAATATATGCCTGGTGGAGATTTATATTATTGGTTAGAGAAATATGATACATTTGATGAAACTATTGCACGATTTTATCTTGCAGAAACTGTACTTGCTCTTGAAGCATTACATGAATTAGGTTTTATTCATCGTGATTTAAAACCAGATAATATGTTATTAGATGCTGGTGGACATTTAAAATTAGCCGATTTTGGTTCTTGTGTACGTGTTGGTGATGATGGTTATTATTATTGTACATCTCCTATTGGTACACCAGATTATATTAGTCCTGAAATGTTAAGTTGTCAAGCAAAAGCTGGTAAAATTGGACCTGCTTGTGATTGGTGGGCTTTAGGTGTAATAGCATATGAAATGTTTTTTGGTGAACCAGCATTTTATGGACAATCATTAGTGGAAACTTATAGTCGTATATTAGGTCATGAAAAATCTTTACGTATACCAACGGATGCTGATCCAATTTCATCAGAAACTGAATTATTTATTAAAGATTTATTAAAATCATCTACAACACGTTTAGGTTCATTTGATTTATTAACAGAAATAGAAATTAAATCTGCTAATAATAATCGTGCTGTTGCTGCTGCACAACAAGTTAAATCTCATATTTTCTTTAAATCAATACATTGGGAACAATTAAGATCAGAGAATGCACCAATTCAACCAATAGTTAATTCAGAAACTGATACATCCAATATTAATTTTGATGAAAGAGATTTAAGTTCAGATAGTAGTAGCGGTGGTGGTGGTGGTGGTATCAAATTACCACATAGTGGTGGAGCATTTGCACCAGCTCGTCCACAACCACCTGCATATTTTACTGGTAGTAATTTATCATTTGCTGGTTTTACATTTAATCGTTATCATCGTTATTTAGAAATGTTCTCTCATAATTTAAATCATAATAATAATAATAATAATAATACAATTAATATAAATACTAATGAACAAACATTCAATGAATTAAAACAATCTTATCAACATTTAGAATATCAATCTATTCAAGATCAAATTACTATAAAAGATTTAAATAAACGTTTAATTGAATGCCAAAATGAATTAGATCAATTAAAAACTATTAAATCTGATTTAGATCATCAATTCAATGATTTACATATTCAATTGAATACTATACAATCTGAACGTGATACCATTAAAAATCAATTGAATGAATTAGAATTACGTTATCAAACATTAAATGTTAATTTAGATCATGAACATTATAATTATACTATATTAAAAACAGATAAAGAACAATTAGAATATCATATTCATCAATTAAATAATGAATTAAAACAAAAATCGAATGAATTAGATCAAATGAAACAATTATTGATTTCATCTAAATCATCCGTAGATCATCATCAAATTGATTCTTCTACTTCTATTAGACAGGAACATGATGATCCTGATCATGCTGATCCTGATCGTGATCGTGATCCTGATCCTGATCATCATCATGATAATAAAGATCGAATTATAACACAACAAAATGAAATGATTAATAATTTAAAGAATCAAAATCAAAATTTATTAATAGAAAATCAAGAAGTACAAGAGAAATGTAAAACATTTATGAATATTGTTCATGAATTACGTAATAATTTAGAAGGACAAATTAATGAATTAACAGAACAATTACATAATACACAAGAATTAAATATCAATTATATAAAACAATATAAAGAAACAAATGAATTATTAGAACAAATGAAATTAATTAAACAAAATTTATATAATGATCTTATAGTCACTAAAGATCAATTAAAAATTACATTAGATACAAAACAAACAATAGAAGAACAATTAAAACAAAAAGAAATTGAATTATCTATTACACATGTAAATTTACGTAACTTAGATACTAATTTCAATTTATTACGTAATAAATCTAATCATGAAATAATCGATTTAAATAATATATTAAATAGAAAATCAGATGAAATTAATAATTTATCTAAACAATTAGATGAATTACGTAATCATTGTAGTACAATAGAATTAACAAATAATACACTGACTGATAGAATACAACAATTACAAAAAGATAAAGAAATACAACAACGTAATTTAGATACATTAGTTGAAAAGTTCTATAGTGAAATGAAATCGCGGACAATACCCGCTCCTATAAAATCAAAATCGAATTCTAATTCTAATCATCATAATGATGAATATAAACAATTAGAAAAAAAATATAAAAATTTACAATCCACTAATTATAAAGATATACAAAATTTACAACATACAATAGATCAATATAAAAAAGATTTATCAGAACGTAATCAACATATAACACAATTAACCGAACAATATCAAATGATTTATAAAGAATTAATACAACAAAAACAATTAGAAAGAAATTTACGTACACGTTTAAATTATTATGTACAAATACAATCAATATCAATGAAACAATCTATGAATAATAATAATAATAATAATGATCCAGATCATGATAATGATGATCTGAATACTTCTACTTCTATTCCGACTGGTACAACAACAACCACAACTACGACTACTACTCCTCTAATGGATCATTCAATACAATCCCAGAATCCAACATTAATATTACCTAGTAATAATAATAATAATAGTATTACAATGGATCCAATCTGTGGACTAAATACAAATATATTAAATATAGTATTAGAAGATATTGTTGATATTGATAGTAAAGGACGTGGAAAAAATAAATTAATATGGTTACCAAAATATGTTGTATTAAAACGTTTTTCATTATTATTTTATACATCACGTAGTGAATATGAATCAAATCCTTCATTAGCTGAAGAAATTCCATTATATCAGGTAAGTTGTGTTTCTATTTTGTTAGTAATAGTTTATAAGGTTATTAAATATTTTGGTAAAGCTAGCCCCCAAATGCCATGGTACGGCCAAGAGTTAGGAAAGTCCGCTCTCCCTCTCGAAATACTCTCACATGGCCATGCGTATATAGCCTCTGACAGGGAAGTCCTACTCACTGCCTTCTCGTACCACGGGTGTTGTTTACAAAAATGAGAGGACGAAAAGCGAATGCCTGGCGCTTTAACTGGACTCCAAATCAATGGTGCACATGGGCTCCAGTATCCTGAAGGAACAAATGGCGTACGAACCAATCGCTGGTCACCGGCTACCATGGGATTGCATCTCCTCACGATGCTCCACTGCCTTGTGGGTCAGACGTTCAGGTCGAAGGCTCGGAGTGTGGCCCCCTAAGAAAACCACCTGCTTCGGTTTGGGCACCCGGGTAGTATCACAGCCCTCACACAAATCAATTGAGATTTGTGTGGCGCATATGTATTTGGTGCTTCCCTGTACCTATACTTATGTGTTAAAATAAAATAAAATAAAATAATTGGTAAAGCTAAGAGTGAGGAAAGTCTGATCTTACATGACCATGTGTTTATATAATTACTTCTCGGAGAAAGTTCTACATCATTAACATCTCGCGGCGAGGGTGTTGTTCACGAAATTGATAGGATGAAAAACGAATATCTGTAGCTTTAAATGCGGTGCTTGATATGAAGGATCCACTTAGAGAAGTTGGAAAACCTTAATTTCTGAAAGTCACTAACTTCTAGTCTGAGCCATGTTGGTAGATACACAATACTTGGTTAAGGTCCGTGTGACTATCGTACCCAATGGCTGGAGAATCGATCAGAATGGTGTAGGTGTACACACTCTCAGTCTTCCTCTACATTATGAGATTAAAATCGCTTTATATCTTTCTTTCTACCAACTAATTCTTCCTTTCTGTACTATAGCCTTATATGCAAACTTTCTTTTATATATTACTACCATTAAAGTAACTAATTCTATGAATTCGGAGTTCATCTTGTTCTGCTAATTAAATATGGCAACTTCGACCGATGCTGGTCCTACATTGTAGCTAACTAACTGACTGATGGACTTCTAAAACCTGAGGGAACAAATGGCGTATGAACCGATTGTTGGTCACCGGCTACCATGACACTGCATCTCCTAACGATGCTCCACTGCCTTGTGGGTCAGACGTTCAGGTCGAAGGCTCTGGGTGTGACCTAAGAAAACTACCTGCTACGGTTTGGGCACCCGGGCAGTATCACAGCCCTCATACATATCAAATGAGATCTGTGTGGCGCATATATATTTGTTGCCTCCTTGTACCAATATCTATGTGTTAAAATAAATAATAATACAAATAAATAAATAAATAAGCTTGCAGTGAAATTCAGGAATTCTGTTTTTTTTTCTCTATTCTTAAGGTTAGACATGACAAGTAATATGATAATCTCATCTATTCGTAACTTGCACCCATGATCGGTTTAACATTATGCAAGATTTGTAAATCATTATAGTTATAAGATTGTTCAATGATTTAGTGATATTCAAGACTAACTTGATCAATTTATGCTGAATTATTGGGTTGTATGAAATTCATTGAAGCTAACTGTTTCCCTTTAGTTATCTATGTACACATTCACTTTTATGTTAGGTATAGTGTATAGGTGGTATAATGTGAGGCAGTTCGTTCTGTTCTACTTTACGGCTGCGAAACGTGGCCGTTAACAGTAGAAGATACTCGTAAGTTACTAGTATTTGACCACAGGTGCCTTACAAATATCGCTCGCATCTGCTGGGATCACCACGTAAGTAATAGTGAGGTTAGACGCAGAGTAATAATAAATGATGGTAAATCAGTTGATGAGGTTGTGAATCTTCATCGCATGAAATGGTTGGGTCACGTGTTACGTATATCTGAACTCCAATCATCACGAAGCGCAATACTGACTAGTGTTGGGGATTGTTGGCAAAAATTTAGGGGCGGTCAAACCAAAACGTGGTATCAGTGCTTGAAGTCTCTAACTTGTGGTGTGAGCCATGTTGGTAGATGCAGACTACTTGGTTAGGGTCCGCATGACTATCATAACCAATGGTGGATTCTATGTGTGACATGGCTCAGAATCGATCAGAATAGCGTAGGTGTATACACGCTTTGTCTTCCCTTAAACTATGAGATTAAAATCGCTTTATATCTTTCTTTCTACCAACTAATTCTTTCTTCCTGTATTATATCCTTATATGTGATCTTTCTACTACATATTACTATCATTGAAGTAACTACTTCTACGAACCCGGTGTTCATCTTGCTGTGCTGATGAGGCATGTTAACTTAGACTGATGCATATATATGCTTGGTACTACGTTTTAACTAACTGACTGACCGACTTAGATTCCTCACTTCAATTTAGAATTGAGACAGGATACTATCTGTTCAGAATCATTTGAATTATTAACTTCACAAAACATTTGTTTATTGCTTAGTTTTTGTTGTTTTTCTTCTTCTTTGTATTGACTTTCATATAACTATACATTTATTCAACTAACCGTGCTTACCGTTGTTTACTGTCTTACAATGGAAAATAATAGTAGTTATATATGTTCGCATACTTATGCTAATTAATTATAATGAAGTATACAACTTAATACTAATTATAGTATCTGAAATTCTTTACTCTATATACATAGTTTATTTTATTTATTTAAACACAAATTTTGGTACAAGGAGGCACCAAATATATATGCGCCACACTTTTGTGTGTACGCTGAGATACTGCCCGGGTGCTCAGACAGAAGCAGGTGGTTTTCTTTGGGGGCCACACCCCGAGCCTTCGACCTAAAGGTCTGACCCACAAGGCAGTGGAGCATCGTGAGGAGATGCAGTCCCATGGAAGCCAGTGACCAAAAATTGATTCATACGCCATTTGTTCCCGCAGGATACTGGAGCCTATGTGCACCATTGATTTGGGATCCGGTTAAAGCGCCGGAAATTCTCTTTTCGTCCTCTGATTTTCGTAAACAACACCCGTGGTACGAGAATGAAGTGAGTAGTACTTCCCTGGCAGAGGCTATATACGCGTGGCCATGTGAGAGTATTTCGAGAGGGAGGGCGAACCCACTCCACTCTCGGCCATACCAGGGCATTTGAGGGCACTTAATATTTGAATTACATAGTTTGTCATATAACACTATAGTTTATAATATTTATTTATTTAAACATAGAAATATTGGTAAAAAATAGGAACTGAATACATATGCACCATAAAAGTCACATGATTTATGTGTGGGCTATGATACTGTCCTATTGCCTAGAGCGAAGCAGGTGGGTTTTCTTAGAGGACCAAACCTGAAACATTCTAACTAAAGATCTGATCTACAAGTCAGTCAGTCAGTAACAACGTAGAACTTCATACGTACGTACGTACGTTCGTACATCAGTTCAAGTTGTCATACCACATTAGTATACAGATACAATTGTCGATTCAAATTCCAGTGCTAGAGTTAGTAAAATTATAAGCACTAATCGGAAAGATTAGGGTTTGAAGATGTTATTCAACGAGTATTATCCAGTGAAATAAATTTGGAAAGAGAAGAAAAAGAAAGGGACATGACGCAATCAGAAAATTAAAAATTGGGAGAACACAAAGAGTGGTTGTACTGGTGCCATTGCAAACGATTTTCAGCCATGTGTCATTCAAAGTCTCTAAACGTCGGTTGCTATCGTCTCGCGTACCACAATCAGGTAGTCTACAACTACTAATATGGCTCAATCCACTTGTTAGTGACTTCATGGATTTGTGCCATGTTTTGGTCTGGCCGCCCATAGCTTTCTTTCAACCAACCCTTACACTATAAAACATTGCACATCGGGACAGTCGGTGGTTGGGCATATATAACATATGTCCCAGCCATCTCAACCGATGAAGTTTCACTAATTCATCAATCTATTTACCATCCTTACCTAGTACTTATTTTCTAATAATTGCATTACTTTCTCGGTGCTCCCAGGATATAAGAGTAATGCTTCGAAGAAACTTATAATCGAATACTAGTAACATAAGAATATCCTCTACTGTTAACGGCCATGCTTTACTGCCATAAAGTAGGACGGAACAAACTGCTGCACAGTAAACTCGTCCTTCGATTGGTACACGGACATCTCGCCCACGCCATAAATGACGCAAGTTTGCAAAAGCTAGTCGAGCCTTCTGTATCCGTGATGAGATTTCGTCACACACCAGACCACGAAGGCTTTTGAGACTCCCAAGATAAGTGATGCGGTTGACACGCTCAACTAGTTCATTCCATATCATTAGTTCCGGTGTCGATGCAACCCAATCCTGAAGTACCATTTTGCATTTCGAGGGGGAGAATCACATGCCAAACATGCTTGCGTTGTTGCTTAGAGTGGTCAGAATACTATATTTTGTCATCGGTATATTCTAGGCCACAAGTGAATCTCCCGGTAACGTCAGGAGATGCAGTCCCATGATAGCCGGTCACCAACGATTGGTTCATACGCCATTTGTTCCTTCAGGATTCTGGAACCCATGTACACCATTGGTTTGGAATCAGGGTTTTAAAGCTCCTCTAGGTGGACTCTCTGTATCCACCAACCCAGTTAAAGCGTCGATCATCCGCTTTTTGTCCTCTCAATTTCGTAAACAACAGAAATGCCACGAGAATGCAGTGAGTAGGACTTCCCTGGTAGTGGTTGTATGTACGATCCATGTGAGAGAATTCGGAGAGGAAGAGCTGACTCTCCTCGCTCTCAGCCGTACCATGGCATTTAATAATACGTTAATAAGACTAATCATGTTGTATCAAAACCAGTAAAGAATCAGTTTAACACTAGAGAATTCTTTATTCAATACAAATACAAACAGTCACACACAGTGAGAGTTCATAGTAGAAGACAATGATAAGAAGGAAAATCACATATTTAATTGTCCATAGGCTGTGTCCATACTCAATGACCAATCACACTT